CAGAGGAGAGCAATGGAATAACCTACCTGTAGGAGAAGTTTCTTCCTACCCCCAGGCAATTAGTGGTTGCCTTACACTTACCTGTTGGATTGACTCTCTTCCCAGTCTTGTATTGTGGGAAAAGATAAACAAGAACACCCCATTTACCTTGTCTAGATCATTCATTATTTAGACAGAATACATATTCAAGTACCAAGTCTCTGTAATATTCCTACACTTAACCTGTTATTTATTTGTTAAATACAGTGTATTCCCTGTGAAACAGATCCTCATTGTCATTTTACTTCACAAGAAGTGCTTCTGCCTCTTTCATCATGCTAACCTCTTCTAGCCTTCTCTTGACACTCTAGGTGTTCCTTAAGCTCTGTTATATGTTCTGCTCCATTTCCTATTTTAAAGTGGAAAGCCTTATTTTGGGAGATGAGTGAATTCTGCACACACACAAAATTGTGATTGTCTAAATAAAAACTGCAAACTTACATTCATGGCATTTGTGATGCATTTTGCAAACATTTGTACAAGCAAACTCACGAGAAAGTGACAAACACTAGTGGAAATGTGTTTGCATGAATGGATATTCATGCTGAGTTTGTTTGGTGGTCACCTTGAAAGCTCTTTGTGAGTTTTGGAATAAGCCAGTTAGAAAGCCATGTTTCTTAACCGACCAAACCCACAAAATGTATAGCAGCTATTTGAAGCAATACTCACAGCCATCTATCGGCTGAAATATGTTTCCAGAAACAATTTTTCAAATAATTGTAAATAACAAAAATATGTTAAAATCCAAGACAGTCCATAGACAGGAAAAAAGGATAAGTTTGTTAAATAAACTGGTGACTGTAATTAGTTTGCCCGCTGTACTTGCTTCCATTAAGATCCACTATCTTTAAACATCTATACAGCCAAATCCCTATTGTCTCTACTTATACCTTTTTCCATTGCTTGTTCCATGAAAAGCAGACCTCATCCTTCTCTTTCTTCAGATCCAGGAAGCTGAAAGTCTCTGTTTTCCTTGAAGTAGTTTTGAGACAACACCCTCTGCAGCTGCTCTGAACTACCAACCACTTGCATTACCAAGTTGTGAGATCTGACCCTCCTCCCTCACCTCTGGGAATTTTGACCTTCTAGTCACTACACCTAATTGCTAAGCCTCCACTTACTCTAATTCCACCACTCTGAATTTTATCTTCCTTCCATTCCAGCTTCTATTCTGTGAGCTCTCAGCCTCTCTGGGGTCATCGGTAATATTCCATAGGCACAACATTCATTCAGGGAACTCTGGAACCCAAGCAAGTCCATTGATTTCCAAAGTTGGGCCAATCCTGATTAAGGGGGGAAAGGTAAAATTTGACCTTAGTTTGCACAAGATAAAGATTAATTGTAGAAAATTAATAAGGGAAGTAAGGGGAAACAAGGAGAAATCTATGGCCAGCAGAGTTAAGGACAATAAGGAGTTTTTAAAGTATATTAGTAACAAAAAGAATCCTGACAATGGTACTTGTCCATTACTAGATGGAAATGGTATAACTATCAGTAATAATGAAGAAAGGGCAGAAGTGTTCAAGAAATATTTCTGTTACGTATTTGGGGGAAAAACAGATGAGGTAGTCATATTTTGTGATAATACTCTTTCCATTCCACTAGTATCTCAGAAGGAGGTTAAACAACAGCTACTAAAGTAAATCTGCAGATCTGAATAACTTGTAACCAAGAGTTTTACAAGAGCTGGCTGAGGAGCTTGCTGGACGATTAATGTTGATTTTCAATAAATCCTGGAACACTGGGGAAGTTCTAGAAGACTGGAAGAAAGCTAAATTAGATGTTGCACCAATATTTGAAAAAGGTAAGTGGGATGACCTGAGTAATTATAGGCCTGTCAGTCTGACGTCAATCCTGGGCAAGATAATGGAGCAGCTGATATGGGAATCTATTAATTAAGAATAAAAGGAAGGTAGCGTAGTAAAAGCCAATCAACATGGTTTTATGGAAAAAGATCCTGTCAAACTAACTTGGCAGCTCTTTCTGATGAGATTGCAGATCTGGTTGATAGAGGTAATAATGTTCATGTAATACATTTCTGTAACTCATTTGACTTGTAACCACATGATATTTTGTTTAAAACCTAGAATGATATAAAATTAGCATAAAGCAACAGAGGGTCCTGTGGCACCTTTAAGACTAACAGAAGTATTGGGAGCATAAGCTTTCGTGGGTAAGAACCTCACTTCTTGCATCTGAAGAAGTGAGGTTCTTACCCACGAAAGCTTATGCTCCCAATACTTCTGTTAGTCTTAAAGGTGCCACAGGACCCTCTGTTGCTTTTTACAGATTCAGACTAACACGGCTACCCCTCTGATACATAAAATTAGCATGGCACACATTAAATGGATTAAAAGCTGGCTAACTGATAGGTCTCAAAATGTAATTTAACAGTCAGTCATCATTGAACCAGTGGGTTTCTAGTAGGGTTCCACAGGAATTGTTTCTTGCCCTACATTGTGCAATATTTTTATCAGTGATCTAGAAGAAAATATAAAATAATCACTGATAACGGTTGCAGATGACACAAAAATGAGGGGTGGTGTGGTAAATAATGAAGAGGACAGGTCGGTGATAAAGAGCAATCTGGAAGGCTTGTTAAGCTGGGCACAAGCAAACAATATGTGTTTTAATATGTCTAAATACAAACAGGAACAACAAATGTAGGCCATACTTACAGGACTGGGAACTCTATCCTGGGAAGCAGCGACTCTGAAAAAGATTTTGGGCTCCTAGTGGACAATCAGCGGAATACAAGCTCCCACTGCGATGCTGTGGCCAAAAAGACTAATGTGACTCTTGTTTGGATGTATAAATAAGGGAAGCTTGAGTAGGAGCAGAGAGGTGATTTTACCTCTGTTTGGCACTTATGCAACCACTGCTGGAATACTGTGCCCAGTTCTGGTGTCCACAGTTCAAGGGTGACGATAAATTAGAGAGGGTTCACAGAAGAGTCACAAGACTGATTCAAAGATTAGAAAACACGCCTTATCATGATAGACTCAAGGAGCTCAATCTAATTATCTTAACAAAGAGAATGTTAAGGGGTAACTTGATTATAGTCTATATAAGTACAATATTTCAGTCTAAGAGACGAAGGTCTAACAGGATCCAACGGCTGGAAGTTGAAGCTACACAAACTCAGACTGGATATAAGGGGTAGAAACAGTGGGAGTAATTAATCATTGGAATAATTTCCCAACTGTCATGGTGGATTTTCCATCACTGACCATTTTAAAATCAAGATTGGATGATTTTTTTTCTAAAAGATCTGTTCTAGGAACTATTTGGGGGAAGTTCCATGTCCCGTGTTATAGGGGAGGTCAGACTAGATGATCCCAATGGTCCCTTCTGGCTTGGAATCGATGAATCTGGGAATTATAAGCTCTTTGGGGCTGGGACAATTTTTTTATTACGTGTGTACAGTGCCAAGGACAGTAGGGCCCTGGGCCCTGATTGGGAGCTCTAGCCAATGTCGCAATAGAAAATAAGACCATGATAAAGGTGTAATCTTCACACACACAGATGCACTCCCAATCACAGGCCAAAAATAAAACCCAAAGTATGACTTCCCAATTGTGAGTTGTACGAAGCTTGTCTATAATGATCATTGCAACCATGAGATTTTAAGACAACACAGAGGAATCATCATCTGCATGGATGTCAAATCATCCAAGACAATAAGTCCTGGTGACTGCAATACTGGGCTAGAGTCTGGTGTATATTAACAAGAAGCAGGCAGGGAGTAGGTGGTCTTGAAGATAGCTTCAGGTCTTTTGCTCTGTGTCATGGTTATTCTTATTACCACAGCTGAACATAGTGGCACCACATAGGATATCCTTGCAGTCAGGGCCGGCTCCAGCTTTTTTGCCGCCCCAAGCGACGAATTGGGGGGGGGGGGAAGCCGTGATCGGTGGCACTTCGGCCGCTGCTCTACCGCGCCACTGCATTCTTCGGCGGCTGGTCCTTCCCTCCGAATTGCCCCCGAAGACCCGGACGTGCCGCCCCTTTCCATTGGCCGTCCCAAGCACCTGCTTCCTGCGCTGGGTGCCTGGAGTCGGCCCTGCTTGCAGTGGTGGGGTGGGATCAAGGGGGCTGGACCCATTTGTACAGTGGGGGTACTGAGAGATATTGAATCAAACTAAACTCTCTGTATAATGGAAACCACCTCAGGCCAGCGGGTGCGGCAGCAGCACCCCCGGCACCCCTAGTTCCAGCACCTATGGGTGGGGTTCTGTGCGATGCCGATCTGTCATCCCCACAGCACCAATAATCCTTCGGGCTGGCTCAGTCTGCCTGGCTCCCAGCCACAGCGGATTCCAGTGATTTGACTGCCCCTTACAGAGGATAAACAGTACAAAAGGGGGCTCAGAAGGAAGGGGTTAGCCAAAGTTTGGGGGCCTTCAGCCTAGCGAAGCCCTGGCCCAATCCCTGCACTGGTGAGTTGTGGGATTCCTGAGCCCGCTGGCTGGTGCGATGCGTGTGACACTAGGTGCTGGCCAGGAGGCCCCTGGCCAGGGGCTGAAGGGGGCTCGGCGCCCGCTCCGGCTGGGTTATCCCCGCTCCGGTGTGAGACCACATGGAGCTTGTCAGCCGCTCCCGGGGCCGGGCTGCGCAGCGCTTCGGGGAACAGTCTCCTGCCCTGACCGATCCCCCCGCTGGTCCCGGGCGCTGTGCGGGCGAGTCCCGGGGCGGGGGCGGGGGCGGGGGCCGATCCGATCCCCGCCCCGGCTCCGCACGGGAGCCCCCGGTCCGGTCCGGTCCCTTCCCGCGCGGCCGGGCCGGGCCGCCTGGACCCGGCGGGGGGCGGGGGCGTGACTTGGTTCGGAGCCGCCCGCGAGCCGGGCGAGGGGCGGGGGCGAGCCCCGGGGCTCGCCTGGCGGGGCGGACCGGACCGGACCGGCCGGGCAGCCCAGGGCAGAGGCCGGAGTTGGCGGCGGGAGGGGGGCGGCGGCGCGGAGACAAAAGGGAGCGGAGCCGAGCCGAGGAGCGGCTGCTTTGCATCCCTTCCCGTCAGCCCCGCTCCTCGCTCGCTTCCTGCCGCCGGGAGCGGCCCGGGGCGGCACCCGGAACAGGGACCCGCTTCGCCAGCCCAGGGTGAGTCCCGGGCCGGGGGGAGGGCGCGGGCTGCGCTCCCCGGCGCAGGCCCGGCTCGGGGCCGCCGACATGTCGCGGGCGCTCGGACGGGCGGCTCCCGGCGGGCGAGATGGCGGCGGGGGGCGCACGTGGGGCCGGGACCTGTTGCGCCCCGGGCCGGGACCCGCCGGGCTGCGGGAGCGGGGCTCGCCCGGGGGCCGGGGCTCCCCGGCGGGGCGCCCGGGGGCGAGCCCAGGACACCGGTCTCCAGAGCCGCTGCCCCACCCCGCGGGGACCGGCTGCCTTGGGGGGCCCCCTCCGCGCCCCACAGTGCCGAGGCGCCGCGCAGCCCCGGCTCCGTATGCCCGTGATTCCTGTCCGGGGGAGTGACACCGGTGTCACACCGCTTCCAAGTGCCCTGCTCCGCTGGGAGAACCGGCTCGCTGCTCTCCTGCCCAGACACTCCGCCGCTCCCCTCGGCTCCTGCCCCTCGAACTAAACTTCGGGGGACGAGAACCCCTTGGGCCTGGCCCTACGCGCCGCACGCTTAGCCGGGGTTAGCGCTGGGCCTGGGGCCGAGAGCGGCCGGGCCTGGGCTGGGCGGGAGCCCCGTGGAGACAGGGGGCGGTTGGGGGAGAAGTCTCCCCTTGCCCTGGGTACTGCTGCTCAGAGCCACGGATTTAACAACCCCGTGTGTCCCTGCAGGAAGCGCCTGTGCCACAGGCTCAGCTGCAGGGCTGTAGTGTAGCCATGCCATTAGTTTTCCGGATAGACCTGCTGTGGGGCCTCCTGTCTCAGCAGGATGCACTGTGGGTGTGTGGAGGACCCGATATTCGCTGATAGGACCAGTCTGGGCTATGGGTTAGACTCAACCGAGAGAGGGGGAAATAGTTTCCTCACCAGCCTAGTGTTCTGTAAAAGTACATATGCTCATAGTAGTTAGAGATGGGAAGAACCCGGTTGAACAGGTTGTGTTCATCTAATGCAAGTATTTGAGGTTTAGGACCCACTCTCGCCTGCCCTCTTTTATCGACACTTCTTATACTGCAGCCAGATCTCACCTGCCTTCTGGAAAACTTCAGAAAAAAATCTACAGTTTCACAAAGGCTTTGTTCATGAGATCTCTGGTCTGACTGGTAACCAACTTGTTTTGTGACTCTCTCCTTTGAAAAGTATTGCGTGGGGTGAGGAGCTTTCCCTTCTTACAATCACCTGTAATCAAGCTACAGAATACAATATTAATAGACTTTATTTAAACACCTTGTCTTGCAGTGGGCAGGGATGGTCAAGTCAGAAGATGCAGCTCTGGGAGGTTAAAACTCCTCTTAAAATATAAAAAACATTGGAAACACAGAAAGTAGAGAAGGCTGGTTAGTCTTTAAGCTTCAGTCAGAACGGACAAGTTGTTTGAGGCATAGATGACTTAAGTTTATTTGCTCCAAGGCCTCACGCTAAGGATTAAACAGTCTTGGCAGAATTGATTTTAAACACCATTATACAATGGCTTTGGTGGACTCTGTTTAAACATGGTTTGTCTGGCCAATGTGGATTAGGCATAACCATTTTAAAACTGCATTCTAGGCTAGTTGGAGCCCTAAGAAATCTAAGTTCCCCAGATGAACTCTGGAAAGGTTGTGGGATAGGATCTTGTTTTACCATTTCCTGGGGACCTGTTGAAAGTAACCCAATTTTGGCAGCAAACCAAGGGCCAATTTTTAATGATGGTTTTGGACTTCCCCTTGACTCCTGAAACATTCCTATTGGAGTCTTTCCTCAAATTCTTTTGATCAAACAATGTATGGAGCTGTATTTGCACTTGATTATGGCAATGAAAATCCTTCTGGCAAAGAAATGGACATGCCCCTCTCTCCGTTCTAGAGAAATGATTTAAACAACAAAAAGAGTGAGGAATACCCTTCCAATGGAAAAACTCCACAACTGCAGGCTAAATACATATGGCCATCTTGCAACATGGTTCTCATTTTATGAATATGCTAGACTGATAGGCTCCATAAATACAGATAACACATTCTTTCCATATACAAGGTTAAAGAAAAATAGATAACTTCACTATTATTACAAACTGTATGCAAGTAAAATTTGTTTCTTCACCAAATAGGACTGCTTTTCGCCTTGCTTGTTCTGTTTAATCATTACGATGTAATTTTAGTTTTATTACTTTAAAAAGTATAAAGGGATTGTGATTTGTAAACCAGTTTAGTAAAATACCCCTCAGAGACAGGATGAATGAGATCGTCAGAAGCATTGTGTTAATGAATAGGCAATGGACTATTTGTGCATGAGCCACAGTGATTATTTCAGGACATTTGCTGCTAAGTGAGACAAACGTTCCATATGTTGATAAATGTGATTATTTTTTCATATGAATTTTATATTGAGACTTAGGCCCCAATTCAGAAAGATACTTTAACACATGCCTAACTCGAGCACAGTTAACTTCAATTGAACTAATCATATGCTTAAAGTTAAGCACGTGTTTAAGTCCCTTGCCAAATTGGGACCGTAATAAAAAGAACCGGCTAGTGTAGGTGGGTGGTGAGTTGCCATTATTACTCCTGACTGACTAGGAATTGTGCATACTCTACTGTTCTTGCTACCCTGTCTGCCTCGTCCCACTCCCCAACCCAGTTGTTTTGCTGGTCCACCTGCTACGTATTGGCTTTTAGACTGGATGCTCTTTCAGAGAAGGACTGTAATTTTCTACATGTTTGTTCAGTGCGTGATGTTACAGCTCAGGGCAGCTGCACCTGTAGTCCTCCTCTGCAGTCCAGCAAGGACACCCACTTCTAGGCTTCTGGCTCCCCAGCTGTCACCTCTCTTGCATGGAGACCCCTGTGTGTCTCCCTCCTGACATGATTTTTTCCAGGGTGCACAATTCCCTACCTACACTGTTATTCCCAGCAAGCCAGGCTGCCTAAGCTGACCAGCGTCTGCACTTTGCTCACTCTTCGAAGGCTATGAACAAGGTAATTGCTCAACTTAAGGGCTTGTCATGGCATACAGTGCTACAGCGGTGCAGCTGTGCCGTGGTAGCGTTTTAGTGAAGATGCTACTATGCTGACGGGAGAGCTTCTCCCATCGGCACAGTTAACCCACCTCCCTGCGAGGCGGTAGCTATGTCAACAGGAGAAGCTCTTCCATAGACACAGCAGGGTATAACTGTTGCCTGGGGGGTGCTTTTTTTACCCCCCAAGCGATGTAGTTATACCGATAATGGCCTGAGTTACAACACAGCTCTTTCTAAGCAAGCGTGGTGAAAGCATTACAGAGAAAACATTAAAACAATAAAGGGGCCTACACGCAGGCTAATAAGCTTACCAGAGATCACCCCAACTCCATCAGGGGCTCTGATAGGAGTCAGTCCTTCAGACCCCACCAGGAGGTTTTTCTGTGGTTACAAGTTCATAGCAGCATTCTTTTAGAATAAGCATGCCCGTGCATTGGTTAGTCTTTCCTTTATGCAGTTTGGGCCTTTGATTTTTAGATTCCAGGAACAGGAAATCAGCCGACAGTGATTCCTTCCTCAGGGCGTAGCTTCAAAAGACTTTGCATAATCAGAGGTGAGAAATTTGCAATCATCCCCCCTCCCCTAGGGATTTCCCAGGCAAACCATTTGACACTGTTTGTTCAAAAGCCCATTCTTCTCTGGCCCGTTGTTCAATATAGTCCTTTGAAGTTCATAATATTTCCCAGGGCTCACAATAATACAGAACCTTTGCATTTAATACAGTGAACTCCAAAGATGATTAAACTTAATACATTTTTTTCAAGGATATTGCAGGAAATTGCCATATCTGTCCCATCTAGCATAATGGGGGCCTGACCTGCTTGGCCTGTAGGTTCTACTGCAATATAAATAAACCTTCTAAAAGATCTAGTTTGTGTCTCTTTTGGATACACATTTTTAGATCGCTGCTGCTGTGCCTTTTATGTGTCGTGTTTGAGGCGGAGGGCCAAGGGCCTGGCTGCTGCGCAGCATTCCAACCTAGGGGGCATGTCCCGGGTGTTCCCTTCATGGCAGGCTGTGGAGTTGGGGGCAGATGGTGTATTCCAAGTGGGGCTTAGAGAGCTTTGACATGTTCTCTTTTATTCTGATCTGCCACTTTCTCCCCTAATTAGCTGCACTCTGGGCTCTCCCCTTCCCCAAACCAATTGTGATGGGCACAGTGGTTAGACTGTGATAAGTTGGCCCGATTTAGTCTGTCCCATTTTTAGATACGCTTTTTCCCCAAAGAGAAGCTTATTTTAAAGGTGTCATACTCTTGTCTTCCCTAATTTTGACGGAGGTTAGCTTGGAGACCAAGAGCATTTTCCCAGCCTTTAAGTCAGGGAGTAGTGTTGAATCTTCAGTAAGGAGAGCTTTGCTCCCAAACGTGTCAGTCAAAATAAGCTGAGCTAAAATAAGGGTTAGAATTTTTTTTAAACTTTGTTTTTTAACTAAAATTCCATTTCCTCCTTAACTGTTCAGGTTTCACTTCCTTAGCACTTGTGATGTCATAATCCTTTGATTTCTCAACTTTTCTATAGGGTGTCCCAGGCCAAACAGAGGCGGCAACCTCCATTTCTGCTGGAGGGGGAAAAAACAGCAGGGGGGGGGGAATTTTTTTTTTAAATGTCGGGCCTTCTCAACCTCTGAAGATTGTAAAGAAGCTCCCCTTCTCCCCTGACCATAATCCACACACCTTGTCCTCCCTCCCCTCTTTTCAGGCCACCTCTGGTCTTACTGTAGAGAGGCTAAAGTAGAGGGACAGTGTCTGAAATGTTCTCAAGTGTAGGGAAAGAAAAGAGCACATAGGAAGTTCACCTGGGTTCTTGAAAAACTTTTTCCTGGTAACAAAGATGAAGGGCTCTGAGAGATTGAGGTGACTGAAGTAGTAATGCTGGAGCAAACTGATCATTTAAAAATGCAATAAGTCACCAGGCTCAGATGGTCCATCCATGGGTTCTGAAGGAACATAACTGGGAAGTACAGTAACTCCTCACTTAACGTTGTAGTTATG